ATACCGTTAAGAATTCATATGAATTTTTCTCAAAGGATCCAAAATATTGGAGTAGCAGGGAAGGAAATTTTGTTAAGTTTTGACGTACAATCCATGTAAACAAACATCTCAGGCGAGAAGGCAGTCACCGCCCTGATGGAGGTCTTGGAACGAGGAGGATATCCTGGCAGCAGAGCGGATACGGAAGGAGTCGTTAACACAACTACTCAACCTGACAGTAAGTACTACATATTTTACATTCAACGGCAATATCTATGACCAAATATTTGGACTAGCGATGGGATCTCCATGGAGAGATTGGAGAAGGAATTCCAGAAGTCACCACTACGACCAAGAATGATTATGCGATACCTGGACAATTACTTTGCACATTGGTTGCATAGTTAGGAAAATTTAGATGAACTCTTCAATTTTATAAACCAACTTGATGGAAGAATTAAAATCACAATGGAGGTGGAAGAGAATAAACGACTACCCTCCCTGGATAGTGAGGTCATTCACTCCAACGAAATACTCAAGAGGAGACTATTCAGAAATAAATCATATGGGGGAATAATCCTCAATTTCCAGTCTCATCACAACTACAGATTGAAGATCGGAATAATGAAGAGTATGATCATAAGAAGCTTAAGACCAACGGACACTGAGTCCTGGAACGAGAAGTTGGAGAAACTAACTCGGATTTGCCTTAGCAAAGGGTACCCCAGAGAATCTCTAGAAAGAAATATAGGGATCATAAAGAGCAGATTCAACTAGGATTTTATGAAAGTAGGATCATGATTCGAGAGTACGGCCAAAAGTAGATATGCCTGCCCTCCTGTAAACTGAATCAGAAATTGCGACCATTGCTCAGAAAATGGAATATCAAAGTGATAACAAAAGAAAAAGAGACACTCTTCGCAAGCCTGCCGAATCAAAACGAGAAAGTTGACAAAGTGGATTGCTCGGAAGTCTATAGCATTAAATTCGACAACTGAGAGAAGAATTATAATGGTAAAACAGGAAGAAAAATTAGCCTACGAATCAAGGAAGACCAAATACTCTGCAGAAACATTGACACTGAAAGATCCGAAATAGCGGAACTGGACACGAAATCGGGTGGAAATAGAAAGACTGGCTGCATATGATGGAAATACAATAAAATGTAAAATATGAGAAGCTATTGATATCCTGACTGAAAGAAATCTAATGAACAGGATACTTGAAGAAAAGATAATTAGAGAAAACTTTGAATACTGCATAAACAAAGTCGGAGGTCAGGAAAAAGCAATATCAGCAAAAGGAAGACTGGACAAATATAATACCTCTTATCTTAGG